CCCTAGTGGTAGGAACGGATTAACCGGCTTTGCATTAGTTCCTATGGGAAATGCCCCTCAACCTAAGAACCAAAAACAGCCGGAACAGATTAAATGGTTTTCAGTGCATTCCTATGGGAAATGCTGATTCGACTTACAAACTTTTCGACTTACAAACTTCCTTCCAATACGGATTAAGTTTGTAAGTCGAGACCCCACTGTATATATGCACATTTGGCTTGTAGCTGTAACTTGCTGAGATTTCAGTTGCTATACTCCAGAATTATTTTGTTTTGTTAAACCATCTTGTTTGGCCTTCTACAGATGGGAAATACAGTACAACACCTTGATACTTGGTTTCTCGCTCAATTAGTCATTTTGTAGGATCACATTCAGGTTTCAATTATATAAGTATCACAGCCTAGCTAAGATGTGTAGAATGCTGTTGCAGTTGTGTTGTATTGGCACAGGGGTGAGACCATTTTCATCTTGTTTAGTTGTACATAGAAATCTGTTCTTTTGAACCAGTACAGGGAATTTAAGCAACCTAGTTATACCCATGTGGTGCTTAGTTGTCAGTTAAAAGATGGAGAAAAGGTATAGAATAGTAGAGACATAGGAGTGCGAGATTAGTTGATTTCACTGAGCTAGGCTCAGTGTCCTACTCGACACCTAAATAAAAGCAGGTATTTGTCTAAAACACAAGGCTAACAGGATTTCATCACTGCATGGGGAAAACAGCTTTCTTATTTCTGCAACCATATGTTTCATCTTAGTAAGAATATAAAAAGTCCCAAACAGATAATGGCCTTTAAAATCTCTTCCCCTTTTCCCCAAGGAAAAGTTCAAGTTGAAGAAGGGAATAAATATTTGTCTCTTGGTAACTCTGGAGGACACAGACCAAACTAATGCGATGGACTTCATTTATAGGGTATAGTAGAATGGTGTGGGGACAAATATGAAAGATGCTGATTAATTTCTGTAGGCTGAAAAAAGCATGCACTGATACTTCCTGCTCTTAGCCAGATGATCTCATTAGCACTTTTTCTTGTAAAACAGGAATATGCATTTTAAATTGTTTTAATATAAAGTTATTTGGGACACTGAAGAGAATATCCAGATGATTTGTTTTCTTTATATTACTTGAATGTATATGTACAGCCTAATTCGCCCTTTTTGGAAAAATCTGAAACTATAATATATCTATTTAAGTATAAGAGTCATTTCCATGCTGCCTGGAAAACAGCAATATTGGTAAAGATGTAGTTCAGGACTAACATTGGAATTCAACAGAGGAAAAGATAGAACATCCCTGAAACAAAAGAAACATTTACATGTTATACTGTCTGTAATGTGCACAGACAGGATTGAGTAGCAACAAGCCTTTCATTTGCAGGCCTCATCCTTCTACTGTGGAACCCGGGAGGAAGAGTTTGAAAGCTTTCATTTCACTAAGCATGGTTTACTGCATTATCTACAATGACAAACTGACAGCTTGCAGCTTGTTTGAAGTTAATTGTTGTGTGCCATTAAGTCACTACCAACTTATGGCAACTGTGAATTAGTAACAGTTCTGAAAGGTCCTGCTATCAACAGCTGTGCTCAGCTCTTGCAGACTCAACTGAGCTAACTATAGTTATTTTCAAACAAGCCATCCCCACCTTCAGGCTGAGCTGTAAAGTTAACTTTTACGTTAAATTTACGTTTAATTATATTAAACACAGTTCCAGACAACATGCAAATTGATTGACTGAAAGGAAAAAGCTATTATCCTCTTTCTCCATAACTGCAAGGAAGGAGAAATAAAAGGACTTGTGCAAAACTAGGGTTGCTGCAGCTTGGGCACTTTGTGCTAAACTGTAGATTAATGTGACTATACGGAGAATGTAGCCATACAACTCTAAGACGTCCATTGCTCTTGCGTATCTGATGTAGAAGAGGTAGCTGTGTTAGTCTGTGCAAGCATTATAGGTTAAACAAATAAGGAAAAGGACTTAAAAATATTTGCCATGTTTTATCTCTTTTTTTATGTCTCTTATGTCTGTCGAAGTAGATTTCTCCATGACAACTCATGTTAAAAATATAAAAGTTAGTCTTTAAGCTACCAGCATGTTTTTGTCTTTTATTGTTTTACTTTTATTTTGTTTTTACTTATAATGTTTACATATCCGAGTATGCCAGCTGGGATGGAGCAGGGTGACTTATGTTACAAGTCAAATTATCTGCATATGTCTACAGAATTTTCTATTAATATGTGTATGTTTATATAGTGTATGTATACTGACCCAAATGCTGTTGCTTAGCATAGTAAATCACACTAGAGTAGGCTTACTGAATCAATGTGGATTTAATGAATGATGACATTCTCTGCACAGTCACATTAATCTACAGTTTAGCACAAAGTGCCCAAGCTGCAGCAACCCTAGTTTTGCACAAGTCCTTTTATTCCTCCTTCCTTGCAGTCATGGAGAAAGAGAATAATAGCTTCTGCTTTTCCTTTCAGTCAATCCCCCATAAGTTCCATTGATTTAAATGAGCTTACTATAACTGCAACTTGCTTTAGCATAGTAAGTTGCAGTTAGAGTAGGCCCATTTAAATCAAGTGAACTTTAGGGGGACATGACTATGCTATGCAACAGGTTTTTCGGCAATATATATAATCAGAACTCATTTTTTTTTCTTGGAGAAATGGACACAGACAGGAAACAAAAGTACCTTCATTATGTTTAAGTATTTAATTGTTTCAGTACAATTGTCTCTGCTGACGGGCAGAGTCTCAGGCACAAACATTTCATACAATCTTACCCGATCATTTATTTCACTTTTTTTGCTGAGGACTGAATATGGGACCTTTTAGTCTAATGTTGTTCTTTTAGTAGTTTTTTAAGTCTAATGTTGCAGATAAGTACATATGTTTTATTAGTTCTTCACCTTACACATAGCTTGAATATTGGATCTGGAAAATCTACTTATTGGAAAACACCATCTCTCAGCACAAGTAACAGCTTCAGAGTTGGTTGACATGCTGCTTTTAAAAAAAGAAAATAACTTCCAGATATGTATGTGGGTTAAGCCATAAAGGAACAAAAACTATGTACTGATAAAAAATATGCAAATTAACTGATGGGAACAATGATTTTTAATATATAGCACAGTAATTTCTCTAAAATATGTTTTAAAGCATTCTGAAGAGAATGCTCATTTTCTTGAAGTTTTTTTTATTAATGCCTTTTTTCTTAATGTATCAGTTATGCAGAGTGCGAAGAGGGGAGAGTGGACAGCAAATTTTATTTCACTTTGAATACAGAATAAATTTATGATTTTGGACTAAACAGAACGTTCTTGTATGTTAGGAAAATAGGCTTGGATTCAGATTTTTCTCCTCTTGGCAGGAATATTCCTCAAGGTGGGATTTCAATCAGAGACACTCCCAATGTTGGGAAGGATTAAGACATTTCCTAATCCTGCCTTGTCTCCTGCAACCTCTTGCAGTCTTCAATACCCTGTGCAGGATGTTGGAGGACTTCCCAGAATCAGAGTTGGGACACTGCAAGAGGTGGAATTGTTCCTCTAGTGCAGCGATGGCTAACCTTTTTGAGCCCGAGTGCCAAAACTGCAACACAAAACCAGTTTATTTATTTCAAAGTGCCAACACTGCAATTAAACCTGAATACTGAGGTTTTAGTTTAGAAAAAACTACCCCAGCACTGCAAAAGTTAAATGCTTGTTTTTTTTTCCTAGGGCATTATTAACAGAGAAATACTTACCAGTCCTCCAGTCCCCCGTAAGGCTAGACCAGTAATGGCCACCATTGCACCGCTCCGCTGGATCACTGTACCAGCAGAGGGGAGTGCTAAAATCCGGGATCAGAGGACAGGCAAGTTTTTCTCGATGGCAATTTATGGCTCACGTGCCCACAGAGAGAGCTCTGTGTGCCAGCTGTGGCACACGTGCCATAGGTTCGCCATCGCTGCTCTAGTGCAATGGTTCCGAATCTTGAGTCCTCAGATGTTTGACTATAACTCCCAGAAGCCTTCAGCACTATCTGCCTGCTAGAATTTCTGGGAATTATAGTCTGACCACATCTGGGGATCCAAGGTTGGGAAGCACTGCCTGGTGGGATCCCTCTACATAATCAAAAGTCATCTGTGAACTGAAGAAGCCCTTTTAATCCAAGAATGCTAATATGGTCCAAATGCTAAGTTTGTGATGGTATGTTTGTAAATTTTCTGCAAATTTGTATTTTTGCTAAAGTAAGAATTCCAAACCAAATTTTAGTCTTCTCCCTCCAGTATCTGCTTAGGTATTGTCTTTATAATGTTCTTAAATATCTTTGTTTTTATTTGATGCGCATTTAGAATGACAAAAGATTTACAGTTAAGAAGTTTCTGGTACTACATTAGCTGAATAAATTAGCTGCTCTGTCTAAACAATAATTTGCTTCCCAGGGTATGTACATTTTGCTGCACACTTCAAAAAGAATTTGTGGATCACATTTTGGTACAGGTGAAATAATAATTTTACATTATTGGTGCAATGCAGCTAGACTGAACAGCTCTTCACTGACATAGAGCTGAAAATGCCCAGTGATGTTTTCTTTTTCATTGCAACTAGGTCCTGGAATGTGTTTTGAAATGGCAAAATCCATATTACAAAAGTAAAATAGCTGTTGAAAGATAACAGATGCACAAACAGGCAAAGTTGAACCTTCTATCTTCCTGGCAAAAATGGCACAAAAACTGACTTGCTAGCTCAAATTCCTGTGTTTGATGGAATTATGATTGAGGCGCTACCCTTGTAGTGGCCATATCAAGTTTTAATGATTGGTTATGAGAGATGTGCTGGATGTTGGGCGGTAAGTTGATACAGATGTACATTGACCTGTTAAGCAGATAGCTTGCTTTATATGTAACGTGTCATAATCCATTAGACATCTTACACATTTTTTTCTATTTTTAAACATATTTCTTGAACCGGTCTTTCAAACTGCATTGTGTATAACCATTTTAATGGTTATGAATTAAAACATAAGAAATCAATGCTGACAACATACCTGATGTTTAAGTTCTGGTTTGAAATGAAGAAATTGTATTTCTTTCCAAAAACAACTCTTGTAGTTTCATCTCTTGTGTTTGTACTTGGGAAAAGTCTGCTTGAGTTCAGGGAAGCTAGGGAAGCTTACTATTGTACTGGTATACGTAGGATGATAGCATTAATCAAGAATATGTAGCAATAGATTCATCAAGTAACTTAAAACACCAAACACATTTTCTGAAATTATAATTTATTCCTTTATGGTTCAACATATTCTGCTTCTGTGGGTAAAACACAAATGATGCTCAACGTAAGCAAGTATTTTCTTCATTAAACGGTTACAGTTACAATTAAAGTGTTTGCTCTCTGCACCCAACAGAACAATATTTCAAGTCAGCTGGAATGACCCTAAATGAGAGGTTCACATCTTATCAGAAGGCTACAGAAGAACATAGTACCCAGCAAAAGAGCCCTGAAATACACAGGTGCGTTACTATAGTATTCTTCTACTTGCCTAATTAAAATAATATGCACAAGAAATTATATGTAATTGTTTATTGAGCTCTGGACGGGAATCCCATTAAGCAAAAATATACAAAAGAGCAAATATACAAAAAAACTTGTTTTTCCCCTCCAGCATGCCCCTTGCTGTGCAGCTGTTATCACAGCTAGTGCAAGAGTGGGCATGTGATGAAGAACCTAGCTGGGAGGGCGGCACTTACAAAAATTTGATCATCTATGCTACATTCCATTGATAGAATTGTGGCCATAGAATTTAAGTTTCTTAATAGTCCCACTGTATAGAACAACAGTAGAGCACAAATTTGGGGTCAAATGCTATATATCAACTGTGTCCATAATTGTTTAAGTATTTATTGTGGGAAATGTTAATTAGATTTGTGTCTTTATTTGTGAAATGTATATTTAGCAGTTTTATTTTTATTCGGTTTGTATGATCATGTTGGAGGAGAAAATGTTGAACTATGGCCCTGAACCAAATAAAGATGAAAATAGTTTTATGACCTAAGAGGACTTTAAACGTACACATAACACAGTAGGGAGGTGAAAAAACCATTTGTGATATGACAGATGAGTTAGCAATTCAAAGAGATTATGAAATTTGCATTGTTAATGCAGGACTTTTGTATGATGCTAAGCACCTTTTTATATCTTGACCTCAGGTATGTAAAAATAATAAGTAGAACATCTAAGAATTACTTCTTAAATATGGTGATTATCTTATATTTATTTTATTTTTATACCACCCATCTGACTGCCCAGGCCACTCTGGGTGGTTTTTATGCATTTAAGTGAATGATGGAACCTATTGAATGACCTGTAGTTTTACTGAATATACAATTCTGTAAAATTCTTAATTTGTTATATATGCTGTTGCTATGTGGTGTTTGTTTGGCTTTTTTTTTCTTGGCTGCATTTCTCCAGGAAGAAAATCTTATGTAGACATTGTCTAGGGGGGGTGGGGTAAAAATCTAATAAATAAATAAATAAAATAAAATAAAATATGTGAGTTGGTTGTCAATTCTGCTATTGGCTAAAATTCTCCAGATTCATAGTTATTTATATTTTGTATGATGCTATTTCATGTATTTTTTGAGGTATGTGTTATCTTTCAGATGTGTTCAGCTTTAGACCAGACCATGGGACATATTCTTTTGTGCTTCCAGTTGTCCACTTGACAGAGATGAATGTTGGCAGCCATAATGATTACTTTTAAAAATCTTGCATTTAGGAGGATTGACATCTCTCCAAGTGCCCTGCGGAAGCATACCCGCTTAGTGGGAGAAGAAAGAACTTTCAGAGAAGAAAGTCAGAAAGTAGGTTCCAAAATGATGTTCTTTACACTGGTTGCTTGTAGCCAAAATAAAATCTGAACCAAAGCCTATATCCTAAAATGATCTTTCACAAATTCAGGTTTTATATTTGTGTGCCTTGAATTATATTTTGTTGTGTTCTGATCATATTTTTAAAAAGGTCATGAAAGAATACTACTTAATCATAGTATTTGTTTACTTTATATTGTACTCATTGTTCCCAGAAATACAGAACACATTAATTACCTACATCCTCCCAAGAATAAGTGAATTAAACCATTCTTTTATTGTGTTATTTAAGCAGATTTCCACTCTCAGCAACAGGAATTTTTCTTCCCTTTTATCCATCCTAATCTGCTGTAGAGGGTTCGTTATCCTTCTGAAACAGATTTATAAATGCATTGAGGGGCTGCCCAGGGAAGGAGAATGTCGTCTATGAGCAGTCTGTTCTACTGGCAGAAGGATGTTGTTTCATACTGCTCATAGAAGAACTGGAAACTTTCTTCAGTTGTGTTTTATTTTTAGAGGAGTGACTTAGATTTAAAGTTCAACTCAGAGAAGTTTACTGTATGAGAATGCAGCCTTTTCAGTTCACAAATATGTTACTGGAACTTAACTACCTATTTATTTTACAACACTTATATAGTGATGAGTATAATCTGTTATGGTTTGTGACAAACAATTAAAATATCTCACATGTAGGGAGTGTGTCTGAGTGAGCAACAACATATTTAATCAAGTAAAATTTATTTGGAAAATCCATGGTGAAAAGAAATTATTTTACATACTCTGAAAACTCAAAGTCATTGGGTAATCCTGTAGTTTCAGGGAGGACTATGTAAATACTTTCGTCTCTGTGGCCACTGGTTGATCAAAGGAATTTGCAGCACCACAAGAAGACCGTTGCCTAAGCATCAGTGAGATTGAACAGCAGTGCAAGGGATGAAGTAGTCTCTCAAATAGTTTGGTTCTGAGTTGTTAAAGCTTTTACGTATTTGGATCAGCACTTGAATTTGGCCCATAGTATTACAGTGGTGCCTCGACTTATGAACGTCCTAACTTACAACCAATTTGAGTTACGACCAGCTTCAGCTGCAAAATTTTGCTTCAACTTACAACCGGAGCTTTGAGTTATGATCAGAAAAAAGGCGGGGGAAAGCGCGGGAAATTTAAATTGCTAACCGTTGGTCGGCGAAGAGGCTGCTTCTTTGTAGCTCTTTCGCCCCAGCGGTTAGAGTGTGCGTTCAGACGAGGCTTTGGACTGCCTGGTGCTGCTTTCTGTTTCTGAGTGAGTACATACAGAGCTTTGCAATGTGGGTTTGGGCTGGGAGCATTCTGTTTCTGTGCTGTGATTTTTTTTGGGGGGGGTGATTTTTTTTCCTGGCCCCAGCCCATTCCAATGGGGCTTACTGTGTTGTTGTGGGGTTTTTTTTTGTGATTTTTCCCCCGGCTCCAGCGCGTTCCAACGGGCTTCCTGTGTTGTTGTTTTTTGTGTGTGATTTATTCCAGCTCCAGTGCATTCCGATGGGGCTTGCTATGTTGTTTGGTTTTTTGGTGATTTTTTCCCCAGCCCCAGTACATTCTGATGGGGCTTGCTGTGTTGTTTGGTTTTTTGGTGTGGTTTTTTTACGGCCTGAATGTGTTCCGATGGGGTTTGCATTTTGTGTGTGTGTGATTCCACCACCACCACCCCCGGGCCGGAATGGATTAATGGGGTTTCAGTGCATTCCTATGGGAAATGCTGCTTCATCTTATGACCGATTCGCATTACAACCATCTTCTGGAACGGATTAAGTTCGTAAGTCGAGGCATCATTGTGCCATGTATAGTTAGGTAACAATGGAAACCTGTGGCTGTTTTACTAGAATTAATTCCTGCTTTGTTTAGCAAGGTTTAGTTGATAGTAAAGTATGTGTAGGACCGGAGGCTAGTGGAGCTTTTCATTTTGCCCCCCTTTTTGCATTGAAGTTATTCTACTGAAATGTTTCTGAACTAGGGGGATAAAAAATTAAAGTGTGATGCTGCGGATCTTCGACATGACATCGACCGTCGTAGAAAAGAACGAAGTAAAGAACGAGGAGATTCTAAAGGCTCCAGAGAATCCAGTGGCTCAAGGAAGCAGGAGAAAATTCCAAAGGATTACAAGGATTATAAACCTTTCAAAGATGACAGGTAAAAGACTTAACTCTTATAAATAATTGTTTAGCTTCTAATTAGTCATTTGTAATTGCAAGCTTAATTGCTTTCAGTTTTCACATACAATGGAACATCTAAATTTAAACAATTAAAATTATTTGTTTTACAGCAAAAATGTATTTGTCTTTTACACGGCTTATGGTGGATGAGGACAAAAACTTTGGAATAGCAAGCTAACACTGAAAAAAATGACAAATTAATCTGTCCTATTATCCAGGCTACATCAGGAGGTTGGACTTCAATGCAGTACATTTCTGTAAACAGTTTGTGTAAGAACTTTGGTTCGTTATGCTTGATTCCGCACTTTTTCAACTCATAACACCCAGACTATGAGAATTATACAGAAGTGTAGGTTACATGTGGGAAAGGGGTGGTTTGGCAAGGAGTTTTTTTTTTCTCAAGACTGGTAGTGGGCCCAAAGAAACAGGTTAGTCTTTAAAAGCCACATGTGCAATGTGTATTTACCACAGTGATAATGTTTATGCCTTTTTGATTTGATGTAAATATGGTGAGATCAATACAAAATGTATTTGCTATAGGAAAGTTTATTACGAAATCTATGTATATAATTTTTCTGCTCTTTTATGTTATAATCATGGATTTACTTGCACTTTCTGTTTACTTTCTTACACATGTTCAACACAACTGTCAATTGCTGACTAGTTCTGCACCGTATGTCTCTGTAATGAAAATATATCTTTTTTTTATAAAATCTGAAAAACAGATAATCATTATAGAAACATTACCCTTAAGAATTTTTCTCTTGCCTGATGTTCTTCTGCACATGTATGTGTGTGCATGTATATAAAACTATCATTTAAAAACATGTATATATGGTGTTTTTTCTGGTGAATTAGTTATTCTTGCTCAGTAATATACTAATAAGACATCTACCTGTTAAAAATATAGATGGAAACTGGATGGTGTCATAATATTCCACATTAGCTTCAAACAAGAAGACAGGATAGCTTCTAAGGCTACAGAAAATCCTGTTCTAGGGTACAGCAGCAAACAGTATGGTTTCTTATTTTTCAGTAAACAAAAAAGAGAACAAGACCGTTCTAGATCTTCCTCAACTTCCTCCCCATCTTCCTCCTCATCCAGTTCCCGAGAAGAAAAGGATTGCAAGAAAGAAAGAGAAGAAGAGTTTAAACCCCATCACGAGCAGAAAGAATTCGCAGGTTTTACAGGAGTCGGAAGACCGAGAGGCACATTTGTGAGTTTCTTCCATATTTTTCCTTTTAAAAATAAAAATTATGATTACTTAATTCATATTTTCAGGGTGCAGTTGTGTTCATAGACTATAGAAAAGTATGGCAATGCATGAGTATTTCCTGTTTTGACTATAACTTGTCTTAATTAATGCAGGCTGATATGTAAAAGTGTGTGTCCAGATCTGTTTAGGTGGGTATATGGTTATAATGACACCGAGTGTGGTGCAGTGGATAGACCACCAAATTAGAACGCTGGAAACTAGAGATTGAATTCTGCTCAGCCATAAAAACTCATTGGAGGTATGGAACTTGTAAAACCATTCCTTAAATATCTCATTTACATTGAAAGCCCTGTTAGGGATGGTATAAGGCACATAACAGCAACATATTTATAATAGGTTAGTTTAAAGTGACAGAAAATATGTGAAATAACTATCTCATCATGCTTCCAGGGTTTGCTTATGTTTTTTATCATTAGCCATGTACATGTTAGTAATTATTTTCAAAGCTGATTGTGAATATTTTTGCAGAATAATTATGTTTGTGTTTAAAACACAAATGGGATTTCTGATCCAATCACCTATTCTGCTATGTGATTTTTTTAAAAAAAACTGATGCTTCTTTTTTGTATTTTATTAATGCTGCTTTTCTCTGTTTATGTTTTATAGTTTCGTCTTCAAATTTGTTTTACTGTTCTGTGTTTGTGCTCTGTCTTTCCCTCTTAAGTATAAATTGCATACGCTGGGAGTAGAGATAGGCAGGAACTGTAGTTCAGGTCAGGACCTTCACAGGTGTTTCATGGGTGCTACCCACGCCCCTCTCTTGCCTCCTCTACATGCTTGCCCATTCTCTGGCAAAGCATGCTTCCTGCCGTGCCTCCTCTGTCAGCCACCCACTCGAAGGCAGTGCTGCGAGCTTCCCTGACCCACCTCTTTGTCTGAGTGGGTAGCTGGTGAAGGAGGGAAGTGGGCAGTGCTGTCAATGAGTGGGCAGTCATACTGAGGAGGCACAAAGGGGAGCACGTTTCACCTGGGGAATGGGCAAACATGCAATGGAGGCGAGTGCACAATGCCTGTGGAACACCATGGTGCCTGTGGTACACCACAGGAGCCTTGCCGAACTGGGCCAAACCACTGAACTGTGGTTTATGCCCATTTCTAATTGGAAGTCATGTTATAGTGTAATCTGGGATTTAATGTCGAACAGCAAATAAATTAAGAGCTAACTCTTCTGTTATGTGACACTGATAGGTTTATATAAACAACTTTAACCTGTCCTATAGAGTTTCAGGTTACCATATATAGGTTTGCAGCCTGATTATTTATATTTGGTTAGACTTAAGTTCATTTCAAGTAGTCACACATTATTATTATTTATGATGGGAAATTGTTTTACAAGAAGATGATGTATTTCTTGTCTGCCTGTATAACATTATAGACTCACTCCATCTAAACTGAATATCAGAGGCATGACACGGTTTTTTGATATACAGTCATAGTTAATTAATACCCAGAAATTACAGTGTTAAAATCCTAAATCTACTAGAATGGCAAAGTTTTTAAAATACAGATTTTTACTTTTAGGACTAACTGATTTCTTGTGCATGTATGTATTATGAACTGACTAACTAAAACCTCTTACGTAATATCTTACCATGGGTGTCTAAGATACAACAAAATTGTTTAGCAGGAAAATGCAAGAAATTGACATTTTGATACTTGTAAACAACCAATATTTGTAAGATTGATTTACAAAACTGGAAGAGTTTTAATCCCACAAAGCAAGATAACATTGCACAGTGGTTAAACTGCATTACTGCAGTTAAGACTCTGCTCAAGACCTGAGTTCAGTCCTGATGGGCTCAGGTAGCAGGCTCATGGTTGACTCAGCCTTTTATACTTCTGAGGCTGGTAAATTGAGTACTCAGCTCACTGGGGTAGAGTGGCCCACGTAAATAAATTGTAAACTGCCCAAGCACTATGGGGCAGTATATAAGCAGCATACTTTGTTGAATGACAGTACATTAAAGCATATTGCAACATATTGAAATAACAATGGTTCACCAAGAAAAATGAAAACTGGATTAGCCATTATTATTCTGACTGTTGTGTCCAGTTAAATTCGTAGAGAATATATTGGGAATTTTTTGTTTGTTTTTTAATTGGGCTTTTATCATTTATTTGCCAAAATGAGGCTCAATACAATTTACAATAAACCAAATGAAAACCAGTGGTGAATGAAGAGCTAACGGTTTGATTTTAACAATTAGAAGTAATTGAAAAACAAAACATTGGGGTCGGGGGGAAGAAGACTGCACCGACCCAGATTAAAAAGTCCTTTCACTGGCATAGATTTGGTGGTATTTTAGAATCTCTATTAAACATTTTGATTTCTTGCTTTGCATGATATGAATTAGATTAATGTTAACGTCATGCTTATGTGTTAGTCTATATAGGCACATGAAAATTCTACATAGGGTTTGTTTCTGAATAAGGTACATATGTTTATGTGTTTCAAGAACTATTATCAATTCAGTTTTTGCTTTCTGACAGTGATGTTCTTTGTGGCAGTAATTTGGTTATACACTTTAGTGGTTTTGATGGAAGATAGTTTTTTTTATTATGCATCATTGGGTCACAAGTAACTAATTAGGGAAAAGAAGCAGGAAATTTGACAGAACTGTGTATATTTCCAAGCCAACAATTAGAAACATGTTCCAGTATTATATCTAACTAGTTTTTCAGTTAACAAAGTTAGCTTATAATATATTTTTCCTATTAAGTATTAGAGTGAAGTTTAGTTAAAATACCTGTAATTTTTAGGCTGTCTCCAGGTTCTTTCTCTCTCTCTTTTCCCGCATTTTCTGTTGGATATATTAGAATCTGACCACCTAACCCATCAGTATACATTGCAATTTGTGCACACAGCTTTAACTCCCAAGCACTCATGCTTAATTTCTCATTCCACAAATGTAGGCTTTTTGGTAGATTTTAAATGAATTGGAAGTATTGGTAAGTTCCTGGGTTGGAAACACTGTTTTATTACACCAGTGTACTCTTAACATAAGTGATGGTATAAAGAGAAGGGGATGCAATTTTGTTGGTTTTCCAGCCTCCATCTGTAGCCTTCAGTGCCGGTTTATTGTTCTGAAATATCTTCCCATCCTCCAGAGCAGATTTTGGATAGTCTTAAAGGGGAGGGGAAAGTTTGTGAAGATTGCTTCCTCATTTTACAGCTGTCCAGCCAGGATATGCTCTTCTCCACTGAGTACATTAAGATGGCTGTACATTTCTGCACATTAATTTTAAGCCACTTCATTTGTGTGTGGTGGTATGTGAAAAATAACAAAGCATATTAGATAATGAATTAGGAATTTATAATTTGATTTAAATAATATTTATTAAATACATAAATGCTTTGGTTAATCAGTTTCGAATTAGGGGCAGAGGAAGAGCCAGAGGCGTGTTTGCTGGAACAAATACTGGTCCCAGCAACTCAAACACTGCTTTTCAAAAGAGACCGAAGGAGGAGGAATGGGATCCTGAATATACCCCAAAAAGCAAGAAATACTTCTTGGTGGGTGCTATACTGTTATGCATGCATCTTTTTTCAAACCTTGTCTTACAAGCACATTTAATAAAAGCAATATCTATAGCTACTTCTGTCATTTCAAGGATCTTACTCAAGATCTTTACAGCAAGCATCTAAACTTCTGCTTGCTTCCCTATTTGTCTGTATAAACATACAAAAACTCTAAGCTTGTCAACTGGGGAAAAGAACTAACATCTACAGGTTACAGTTGAAAATCTGTTCCCAGCATGTTTCAAAGTAACATCTATAATTGGGAGGGGTTTTGGCTTTCTTTAGAAGTTTCTGTATAAGAGACAAATTATAGTCCTAGTATGAAATTAGGACTCTATTTACATAAGTACAGTACCTGTGTATAGTATAAAGTGCCATTCTGTTGATCAGAGTAGCTCTGAAGTGTCATCCCATCTATCAAGGTATCTGTCATTGTTTAGAAATAGCCAAAGTCCTATCAGGTTTGGCAAAGATTGATGGAAATGTTAGAATAGAGATGGGCAGCCTGGAGCAGCATTCACTCCACCCTTCAACTCACACTTGAATTTTAGCACATACACACCCATCTCAGCCAATCATGGGGAGATGGCACAAAATGGTGTTATTGCTCATTTCAGACTCGGATTGTTAGGAAACAATTGGTAGGCGTAAAAAGATGCTGAGGAGTGTGTGCATGCTATAAGCTGCACTTTGCCCACACTGTTGAAGAGCCAGAGTTTTTTTAAAAAAAACACACACAAATCATCTTTGTTGCTAATAAGGCCCTGAGGAAATGTGAACTGCTGAACCCAAAACAGATACTCAGGATAAGGATACAAAGAGAAGCAGTACTTTCCATTTCTTCTTCACCTGCATCCCTCAACAAAATTCAATTTGGGGTGTGTGACAAGGAAGTGTCTTGTACCAGAACTCTAAAGCTGCTTTCTTGCTGTGCTAAAAGACATGTTGCAGCCTGCCATGCTAGTAGACATCTTTGTGTGTTCCCCCCCATTGCTCCCAGTTGCAGACCCTTTTCCATAAGAATAATTGTTAACCATTCATTTATTTGGAAAAATAAATATGAGTGTGATCACTGTTGTACATGAATAGCACTGTTTTAGTTAAATAAGCTACTTCACCCATTTCTTGAGTGCTGAAAATAGATAAAATTGTATGTTAGACTTTTTAGATTTTTCACACAGCAATATCAGTGACTTCCTGAAATAGCTATTATATAGTTTTGTTCTATTTTTTATTCCTAAAGAAAATGCTAAAATCCATCTTTTTTAGGCCAACAAAAAATCCTTAAGAGTTTAAATTCTCTGGAATAAAATACTATTAAGGCATAAAGGCACAGAGGAAAAATGGGAGATGAATAAGACATGTATCTGACATCTACAGTTGTAATCAGAATTATTCAACCGCCATTGTAAATCACTTTTACTGTCAAGATTTATAGACTTTCAACTGTCTGTAATGAATATATCAAACTAAAGCAATTGAAATAGCTCAGCACAATGAATGCTTCAAGTGATTTCCTCAGATTCAACTGAAAATGCAACTTTTAATGAATTCTGCAGTCTCAAAATTATTCAACCTCTTTCTGGCAAGCGTCTTTAGTATTTAGTGGAGCACCCTTTTGCTGTTATGACCTACTGCAAACGAGATACATAGCCAGACACCAGCTTCTGACAGTGGTCCTGACTTAGCCCATTCCTCATGACCAATGGCCAATTGAAGCTGATACTTCAATGATTCCATCTTGCCTTCCACAAATTACAGGTTTCCAGTGCCAGAGGATGCAAAGCAGCCCCAGAACATCACCAAGCCACCACCATGCTTAATTATAGGCAGAGTGTTCTTTTCAGCATATGCTTCATTCTTCTTCCTCCAGACCCAGCTCTTATCCATCAGGCGGAAAAGTTACAGTTTTGTTTCATCCACATAATAGAATCCCAGAACTTCTGTGGCTTATTTATATGATTTTGAGCACATTGGAGCTGACTTTTCTTGTGCTTTTGGATCAGTAGTGGTCTACATCTTGGAGTCCTGGTGTGAAAACCTGCTGTGTTAGTACACACCTTACTGTGCACACTGAAACCTCAGTGGCTGTTGCCACCAAGTCTTGCTGCAGGCTTTGATAGTTACTCAAGGGTTTTTTCTCATTCTGCCTTTTCAGAAATCTGGTTGCAGGCATTGGTGGTTTTCTTTTACTGCCCTGTCCAGGTAGTGTAACATTGAACTTGTGAACTATGCTTCCAACTGTATCTCTAGGAACACCCAGTCCCTTTGCTGTAGCACCGTATCCTGTGCCTTGCTTGTGAAGGGCAATGATTTCTTCTCTTTAACTTTTTGGACCCTTCTTTTGACTTAGCCATATTTCGAACATGCAGTCAAAAGTGACACGCTTTAAACCCCTAGCTAGTTCAGGTATTTCATGTATTCCAGCTCAAGCACATCTGGCGCAACTAATGAAGACCTTGATTAGTTCATCAGGTATGCTTGAGACAACACCTGTTTTGCATAATTGTTCTGTTGTGAGGGATTCTATTCAGGAGGTTGAATAGTTTCAAGCCTGCAGAATCCATTATAAGTTGCATTTTCAGTTGAATTTGGGGAAACCTCTTAATGCAGTCATTGTGTAGAGCTACAGTGGTGCCTCGACTTATGAGCATAATCTGTTCCAGAAGATGGGCGTAACTCGAAATGGTCCTAAGTCGAAGCACCATTCCCATTGGAATGTGATTAGTCCATTCCAGGAAAAAAAATGACCCCCAAAAAAGAAACACTGCAAGCCCCATCAGAATTACCAAAAGCAAACAAGCAAAAACAATGCAAGCCCTGTCGGAACACGTCAGGGCAGGAGGAAAAAACACCAAAACAAAAAAAAAAACAACAGGCAGCCCCAGGGATAAAAAGGGCTCTTACCGCTGCGCCCAAAGGCGAAGGGGAGGGGGGCCGAGGAGGAGGAGGAGGAGGAGGAGAGAGCCAGCCAGCCAGCCAGCCAGCCAGCCAGCCAGCCAGCCAGCCAGCCAGCCTCATCAGAATGCGATGGGGCTGGGGAAAAACACAAAAACATCACAACACAGAAACAGAAACCACCCCCCCCAACCAATCCTACAAAAGAAAGTAAATGTACTTACTCAGGAGCAGAAAGCAGCTCCAGGCAGTCCAAAGCCGCCTCCAACACACTCACTCTAATTGTTGGGGCGAAAGCTATAGAGAAGCAATCTCTTCGCCTACCAACGGTTAGCAAATTTGAATTCCCCACCTTTTTTCTCTGCCCTTTTCCGGTTGCAACTTGAAGCTCCGGCCGCAATTATGCGGCTGGAGCTGGTCGCAACTCAAAGTGGTCATATGTCAGGACGTTTGTAAGTTGAGGCACCACTGTATTTCAGTTGCTTTTGTTTGATTTGGTCACTGCAAACAGCTGAAAGTCTAAATTTTGACAATAAACCTGATTTGCAATGGGGGTTGAATAATTCTGATTACAACTAATTACAGTTTTGCAGTGAAAAGAGGGAGAAAATTGAGTATATTCAAATTACACTGTACTGGAATCTGAGATGCTCTCAGGTACTGGAATCATTCCATGAATTGCTGGGAAGCAGCAGCAAACAAAAGGAATGTTACTCTTTTTGAGAAATCTCAGTCCTCAGATCTGTCCTCTTCTTTAGGCAAAACATATTAGTTCCTTGAGAGCAGAAGAGAAAATCAGAAAGAAACTAGACAGTATTTATATAAAGAAAAATGGAGATACTTTTCACATTAAAGTGAATTAATCTTTCAATTTTTCATTTTTGTTTCTTCAATCCACATTTAGCATGATGACAGAGATGATGGTGTAGATTACTGGGCTAAAAGAGGAAGAGGCCGTGGCACTTTCCAGCGTGGCAGAGGAAGATTCAACTTCAAAAAATCAGGTAGCAGTCCGAAGTGGACACATGACAAATACCAAGGGGACGGGCTTGTGGAAGATGAAGATGAAACAATGGAAAATGAAGACAAGGAGAGGCGCAAAGAAGAAAAGGTAGGTACTTTTTATTTATCAGTTCTTTCATTTCTTTGTATCTTGAGAGTTGAATTTTAAATTACCTAAGTGCTGCAGTATAAAAGTGTGAATACCTTTTTTTCCACAGGAATAATAACTCTGAAGAGCAGTTCATGCAGAAAGATTTGCGCCATCTACACAGCATTTTTGTTATGACTTGTCGTCAAATGAATGTAAGCGTTTTACTTAAAATTTTATTGTTAGCGAGTAGCTTAGTTATGTTTCTGTTTTGTTTTAATACCTTCACAGTCTCATGGAATAGTAATTGTTGATGATTATACAAAAGAAACAAGGGGGGGGAATGCAATACTGTTTGTCATGATCAGTTTTTTAAACGTTTGTTGTTAAACAAAGTGTACTCTTGCTTTGTCCAGATGATACAGTCAAAGCCCTGAGAACTGTACTTCATTGCCCCTTTCACACCTGTGTTTTACTATGAAGGAAAATACGGTTTCCACATCTAACTCTTGAGACAGCATTTTAAAATAAATCTGTATTATATCTCAGTACTATGTTGGAGTTAGTAATTTCCTGAAGTTTTTATTTGTATGGCTTATGTTTAAATTGTACAGTAATATTCCTTGATCTCATTTGGGGTGGGAGGGTGATACTTCTTTTATCTGCTGCCAGATTAATTGTGTCAAAAGTAAACAGTGCCACAAGATTAACTGTTTGCAATGTTTTCACAAAATGTACTGTTGATCAAGTTTGAAAATAGGGTTCTTTGCTACCTTTATATCTCATTTCCTGAAGACAGTATGTAAGTAGGTGGTTGTATGAGTCAGTTTGGGGATCTTATTAATTCTTTCATACATTCACATTTCTAGAACACGATGGGAGTTCTCTTCTCAACAGATCTAGATCTGACAAGTAGAGCTGTAGCTTAACATGTGCTACGTTTCTCCGTCCACATACCTTTACTGCTAATGGGGAAATGCCTCAACTGTGTGTGCAGCAGCACTAAAAGTAGCTTGACCTTCTTCACTCTCTTTTCTTACAAGAAGATTTATCCTACATTCCAAACCTTTAGGCGTACAACAAAGAGGTACAATATAGTGAAAGGTTACCTTTAATGCAAGCATGTTTCTGTGTGTTGTTTCAGAGTTTTTATTCCTAATAAACATAGTCTTATGTAAAGCACTGGATGTTATCTATTTATAACATTCAAACAATGTGTACAATGAGTATGAAATGTTATTTACTGGAATGTTAGAGAAGGTTCATTCACAACTGTTGTAAATATTGGCGAGGAATGTCATGGCAATAATGGTCTAACTTGTCAAAAGTATCAGTTTGGTCACAGTTTGTAAAACAATTTTACATAGAGGTTTTCTTTAGATACGTAATTTGAAAAGTAGAATATTGGAATATAATCCCAATCTTCAGTAGTATAAAGATGTGAACATTCTAAAAGGGGATAAGACTGTTATTACAGATTTAAAGTAAATAACAGAAACATTATATCTATATGTGTAAGGAGGAAGAAAACGGGACATTCCATTTTGATGTTTAAAAGCTGAATATTTATAATCATGATAAATTGTATTGCTTTTAGCACTCAAGCCATAACAATCAATGTAGTAAAATTTTATAATATAATAAAAAAGGAATAAAGGTTCCTTAAAAGTTAAAATAATTAAGCTCTTGTTCTTAAAATTGTACATTTAAGCATAACAGCATATTATCAACTTCTTGTTGTTGTTTAGTTAAGTCTTTTCTGACTCTTCGTGATTCCCATGGACCAGAGCACGTCAGCCCCCACCCCCCGTCTTCCACTGCCTCCTGGAGTTGAGTCAAATTCATGCTGGTAGTTTCGATGACACTGTCCAACCATCTCGTCCTCCTTGGTCCCCTTCTCCTCCTGCCTTCACACTTTCCCAACATCAGGGTCCTTTCCAGGGAGTCTTCTCTTCTCATGAGATGTCCAAAGTATTGGAGCCTCAGCTTCAGGATCTGTCCTTCCAGTGAGCACTCAGGGTTGATTTCCTTCAGGATGGATAGGTCTGTTCTCCTTGCAGTCCAGGGGACTCTCAAGAGTCCCCTCCAGAACTCCAATAGCAAAAGCATCAATTCTTCGGCGGTCAGCCTTCCTTATGGTCCAGCTCTCACACCATATATCACTACTGGAAAAACCATAGTTTTGACTATGCGGACCTTTGTCGGCAAGGTGATGTCTCTGCTTTTTAAGATGCTGTCTAGGCTTTCTTCCCAAGAAGCGGGTGTCTTTTAATTTCATGGCTGCTGTCCCCAACTGCAGTGATCCTGGAGCCCAAGAAAGTAAACTCTGTCACTGCCTCCATATCTTCCCCTTCTATTTGCCAAGAGGTGATGGGACCAGTGACCATGATCTTAGTATTTTTTTTTATGTTCACTATTTTTTGCGCTCTCCTCTTACTCTCATTAAGAGGTTCTTTAATTCTTCCTCACTTTCTGCCATCAGAGTGATATCATCTGTATATCTGAGGTTATTTCTTCCAGCAGTCTTAATTCAGGCTTGGGATTCCTCCAGTCCAGCCTTTTGCATGATGTATTCTGCATATAAATAAAATAAGCAGGGAGACAGTATACTGCCTTGTCGTATTCCTTTCCCAATTTTGAACCAATCAGTGATTCCGTATCCAGTTGTAACTGTTGCTTCCTGTCCCATATAGAGATTTCTCAGGAGATAGATAAGGTAGTCAGGCACTCCCATTTCTTTAAGAACGTGCTATAGTTTGTTGTTGTCCACACAGTCAAAGGCTTTTGTGTAGTCAATGAAGCAGTTGTAGATGTTTTTCTGTAACTCTGGCTTTCTCCATAATCCAGCGCATGTTAGCAATTTGGTCTCTAGTTCCTCTGCCCCTTCAGAATCCAGCTTGTACTTCTGGGAGTTCTCGGTCCACATACTGCTGAAGCCTACCTTCATGTCTGGCTCAAGGTCATCAACCACATTATCTGGGTTGTCCGGGGATTCCAGATCTTTCTGGGATAATTCCTCTGTGTATTCTTGCCACCTCTTCTTGATGTCTTGTGCTTCTGTTAGGTCCCTACCATTTTTGTCCTTTATCATGTCCATCTTTGCACGAAATGTTCCGTTAATATATCCAATCTTCTTGAACAGATCTCTGGTTTTTCCCTTTGTATTATTTTCATTTATTTCTTTGCCCTGTACAGATATCAACTTACCTGTAGTTTAATAATTCAGTGGTTGAAAACCTGTTGCTTAGCGTGCCAGGTCCAACTAGAGTAAACCCATTGTATCTGTAGTGAGTCAACTCTATAAATTCCATTAATTCAGTGAGCTTACTCTAGTTGTGACTCATTACACTAAGTGACAGGATTTCAGCCAGTATATGATATTGAGGGATTTGGAGTACAGCAATTAATTTAACAATTAGCTTTGTTTGTACAAATGAGAATGTTCAGCCAATAATTAAAAGTTATTATTGAAGGAAAAAATAATTCAAGAATAATTAGAGTTGAATTTCTTGAAGGGAAGGGCTTCCAACACTGACCACATACATTTATTTTGGGCAACTTCTAGAGGGGGTAAATTTCCAGACTTCAATATTTCTCAAATATTGGATGAAATAATTTCATTTTGAGAATTTTTAAAGTCGGTGGGGGGGGGGTGCCAAGCAGCTTCTTCTCAAACTCTAGAATCTTAAAAGTGTTTTTCAGTTTTATTTAACACAATGAATATGAGCTGTCCAGAAGTCTGATGGAACACTAATATTAAATACTTAAAACAAGACACCTGTTGTAATGACTTCCATTCAGCTGACAATTTATTCATGTAGATGGGTGTTTCTGAAAACCATAACATTAGTTTTCTAATTTACATTGATATTTTTTTTTGCAGTACACACCAAATGTATTGATATTTTTCAAATGCCTGCATTAGTAGCCTAAGCACAATTTTAACCATTGGCTATTGTGTTATCTGCATAAGTAATATTCAAATGGCCTTTCCCCCTGATATTATATGGCAAAAATTATAATCATGGTAAATATTCTCCTGTATTCGTGTATAGATTGAAGAGCAACAATGCTAAGATGCAGCCTTGATTAACCTGTTTTGAGAATTTGAAGAGTTGTACAGGGGACCACAAATGTCCAATTTTACCTTTAAAATGATGTCAGCATATTTGCTGTAACAACCTAATACCCATATTCAGATTAAGTAGAATAAAATGCAAGTTTTAGTTACCTTAAAACGTTTGCTAATTAAATGTAGCAAAAAATCGGTGAACCAAAATTGAATAAATGCTGTCAGTTGTTCTGAGTCACCCACACCTCTAACTACAGGAAATATCTTGCATAAAGTTTTGTGATATCAAAAAACCTTTGCAGCAAAAGTAAATATACTGATCTGTAATTGGGTGGTTCATTTCATTCTCCTTTTTAATAAGTGGACACAACAATTAAGAGGCTTCATTCCTGGAGAAACTTAACTGGATCTGTCTGTTGGTGAACATGATAGCTAAGACAAGTTCACCAGTCCAGGGAAGATTTAAATATATTTAGTGGGGGGATAATATTTTCCTCTGAGGCTTTAATGTTCTTTATTGCAAAGATTAAATATTTTATTTCACTAACCATGAGATAAGACTACATGGGTAAAAGCTTTGACAATTCTCATGGCACATTTAACCTTACAATCAAGCTGCATTGGGTTATTAGAATTTTTAAAAAGTGTTTGTCCCAAGAAACCACGGATATGTAAATAACAGAGTCATAGTGGACAACCCCAGAGCCAGAAGCAGGTGCCAGAGCGTCCCCATGTGTTTCTCAGTGCCTGAATAAGCTCTTCTGGTGATTCTTTTATTGAGGCAAGTTTTAACCCCCAAAGGAGATACTCATATTATTGCAGAACTTGAAAAAAGCAAGATTGGATTCATTTACATGACCTAAGAGCATGCCTTAACTGCTTTTTCATATTTTGAGCATTTTCTGTCAAACTCTTCTCCTTTCATTTGTTTTTAACGTTCTTGCATAAAAAGGCCTCAACACTATAATCAGTCATTGCAGGTTAATACCAATGCAGTACTGATATACAGAGCTGTGAAATAAACTCTTTTCCTCAGTTTGCCAAACAATTTATCATGCTGTAAAATCAGTTCATTTGGCTATTAAATGAAGTTCCTTTAATCCAGCCAGCATAGGCTTTTATTTTATCACACTTTTGAAATACTGTAGATTCATATGAATTATTTTGGTGTGTGTGAAGCCCATCTTGCAGTAAATACTGCCAAATGGACCAGCGCAGAGGAGTAGTGAGGCAGCAGCTGGCATCATCGCCCATCAGGACACAGTCTGTGGCTGATGATTTATTTTCCTGAGGAGCTGTGAGGAGGAACTGTGAAGCTGCTGCTAGCAGGTGCAGGACACAGAACTGAAGGTGGAAGACTTCTGCAAAGGAACAGTGGTTGGCGTTTCGCAAGCCTGGCCTTGCTGCTGCATCAGCCCGGCCAGAAAAAGGATCCGGCCAATCAGCTGAGCGTGAGTGAAGAATGGGACTCGAGGAGAG